AGAGAGAGAGAGAGAGAGAGAGAGAGAGAGAAAGAGAGAGAGAGAGATGTGCCAGTGCCCACAGATCTGGAAGATCTGACATGGGTGCTGAGAACTGAACTCCAATCCTCTGAGAGAGCAGCAAGTCCTCTTAGCCCCTGAGCCTTCTCTCTAGTTTCCACTATTTGACAGACTTAACCCACATAAACTGATGTACACATAATCCTTAGACAGAGTGACAAGTTAGTCTATAGTAAACCTCTCTGAGTCATATTTCCATGATCCAGTGAAGAAGGATAATGCCTCTCACCATGGTACAGAAGAAATTAACTGAAAAGTAGTTTCCAAATCTAAACTTGTTATTCAGGGATCTATGTTGGTCTGGTTGGGTCTTCTTTGATGGCAATATCAAGACAAGTCAATCCCCAAAGGACCTTGTACTAATCTTTGTCCAAATTGTTCTCCAGGAACTAGTTCCTCACTTAAGTGTATCTGAGGCATGGTCTGGCCCATGTGCTAGTTGTCAGCTTAGAAGTCTCAGTGGAAAATGTGGATAGCCCAAGATTAAAAAGGCTGGTTCAAGTGCAACAGCACATTTCCTCTGCCAGGGTCATTACCCTAGTATCTTTTTTTTTTTTTTTTTTTTTTTTGAGATAGGGTCTTACTATGTTGCCCATGCTAGCCCCAAACTAATGGGCAGTTGATCCTCCTGCCCGAGTCTCTGCAGTAGTAAGGGCTGCAGGCATGCACCACTTGGTCAACACTTTTCAGGGCCTATCTAATTATTAGTCTTTTGGAAATCAGTTCTACCTTATTCATTTGTTTTTAGTCTAGGGATTGGACCCAGGGCCTCACACATGTGAAGTACGTGTCCCACCACTGAGCCACATCCTTAACCTTACATTGTATTTTAAATAATAAACATGCTTCATTCTTCTTGGTAGAAGCCCATATGTTAAAGTCTCAAACGGTAAAACAAAATAAGATAGAGAAGCTGCTCACCAAGAAAGGGTGAGGAAGAAGAAGCAAAATTGAATTTTAGGTGTTCACATCCCTGCTCAGAGTGCTGCTTCTGGAGTCAGAAATATGACTGTACATGGTTGGGTGATCCATTCCTCACCCAGAGGTCTCGCTCGGCCTGTGATCCTATTGATGATGACGTCTGTCATACTCACATCTGTTGTCATCATTAGTCAAAAGACAGTTCAGAATAAGAATAAAAAAGGACTCAACTGCTGGGTGTGGTGGCACACACCTTTAATTCCAGCACTCGGGAGGCAGAGGCAGGTAGATCTCTGTGAGTTCAAGGCCTGGTCTACATAGTGAGTTCCAGGACAGCTGGGGCTATAGGGAGACCCTATCTCAAAAAGACCAAAATAAAAAAAAAAGGACTCAACTATGGCAACTTGCTGGAGTGGGAGTTAGTCAGTCAAATACAGCCAATAAACAGACAGCATGCTAATCAAAGCAAGCCTTCTACTGGAAGCCCAACAAGGGAAACCATGAATACGCGTGTGCTGTCATGAAACACTGTTATAAACACTGCCTCCTGAAAGAGATCTTCCAGCAAGCTAAAATTTAAGGCTGCTGTAAATTCATGTTTCATAGCATGCAACATTTCTTTTCTGCACAGAACAGTAAAGTGATCTAGTCTATATGAGTAGATAGGAAAGTGCATTGGAGTTTGGCTTTCACATGGACTGTAAACAAAATCATAAAATTAATGGATGATGAGGGACTGGCCTTATGTCAATAGATATGAAAATGCACCAATAATAAAATTTCTCAAAGAAGAAACTTTTTTTTTTTTCCTACTCATAGCCCATCTGGCTGTCACCATGAAATGAATATTTATTAAAGAAATCAAATAAAAGCATTTTAAGTTTACTAAAGGGATGCATTTAAATATGTATGGTGATAATCTAATAGTAGATGATGGGATGGACTGAATTTTTAACTAATAGGATAAATCATATTCTTTGGGAGGAGTGTGAGGAATAGTTTGGTATCTAATGGTCCTTCTTAAATCAAGATGTGAAGTCAGCGAGGTAAGACATAACCAGTTTCTGGAAATGAGATCTTTACAGCTAGTTCTGGGGTTCCTCAACCCATCAGTCCACAAACCTTTGGGCCTTGGCAAATTGCCCAGCCTGGAGCCGCTGCTGGAAGGCACTTGAAGTCCTTGATGCAAACACTCTTCCAGGCCTGTAGAGGGTAGTGTCTCACTTTCATGACTTGACATTGTTGTGGTTTGAATATGCTTTCTGGAATCTTTCCTAAAGAATTCATGTACTGGAAGCTCGGTGGCCAATATGGTGATATTAAAACATAGTGGGATCTTTAAGAGCTGGGCCTTAGTAGGAGGTCATTGGGGACACTGCTCTCTGAAAGGATCAAGGTGGTTCTAGTAGGCTGCTGGTTAGTTTTCACATGAGGACTGTAAAATCCTAATAATGGCCCCACCTTGGTTTCCTGTCTTGTTATGTGATCTTTCTCTCTTTCTTAAACCCTGCTGTGATGTCACCTGCATTGAAGTCCTTGCCCGGGTTGGTGCTATGCTGTTTGGACTTTCATTCTCCAAAGCTGTGAGCTAAATAAACCTCTTTTCTTTATAAATGTTCCAGCCTCACTTTTTGTTGTTATAGCAACAGAATATGGACCTATACATGCTCCGAATGATCTCACCCTACTCACCTGGCAAATGTGCCATCGCTGAGAAATAAGGATGCAAAAGTAGATGTCCACTAAAGTGCTTTGGGACCAAGGAACTGAGACTCCTCAGGCAATGCCCAGCTTCTGCCCTGATGATGCGTTTTCTGCCCACAAGCAGCTTCCAGTTCATGATGGTGCGGATGGAGTAGAGTTGGTCATCTTGACACTCCTGGAAATAGCCTTGGCAGTCCATGGGGAGGAGCAGTCTCAGGGGTGGTTTCTTTCCCAGCACCTCACACCGTAGCAGCCTCCTCCCTTGATTCTCTTCAAAGCCAATTAAAGACAACGTTTGTCCTTCTTTGAGCCCCATGGGAAAATCCTCCATGGAGATGGGGACTAAGTTCTTGAAATAGGAAGGACCTCCGTTGATCATGGGACTCTGGGGAACTCGGACAGAGTGGACTAGATCAGCCACAGTTTCAAAAGGAACTGGATCTGCAATCAGCTGGAACTTCCCTGCAGAGAAAATGACAGGGAGGAATGTTCCAGTAACATCACCTATGGGAATAGTGGAGGAACTGTAAGTCCAAGTCCCACACCGTTTGGCTGCATGGTGACGACTATTATCATTGTTTTAATATAGCTCTCTTCCACCTGCTGAATTCCAAGGACCCAGGGGGCCTTCCTCAGAATTATCCTTCCTTCATCCCCCAACACCTGTCCCAAGTCAGGCCTTAGCAATTCTCCCCTTTGCTGAGGCCTCTGCGCCTTCAGTCTCTTCCCCTCAAAGACCACCACACATCTCCACCTGCCATTCCTGTGCTCAACTCCCTGGTATCTTGCTATCACTCCTTAGACCACGTCCCAAGCTCCGTGTTCCCTGGGAACCTGTCTCCCATCACAGTCTCAATGGCTGGCCCCAGATGCAGGCACACTTGGCAGTATTCCTGACCATGCTTTGTTTCCTCCCTTGCTTGCCTGATTGTCAAAATCTCAGACAGCCTGAGATGACACCATTCTCTAGAGAACTTCATGCCACTCGTGTGTACCCTTCTGGACTTACACACTGTTTTTTTCAGCTTCCCATATCAAGGAGACTATTCATGATTTCTGGGATCACGGGACATGCTGAGGAACACCAGTGTGCCGGGAGCTTAAGGTGGAGCCTTCAGGCATGGCAGGATGGCAGGCCTTGATCAAGCTACTATGACTCAGATTTGGATTGGAGGTCCCCTGCCACCTTTTGTTAGGTTTTTTTTTTTTTTTTTTTTTTTTTTTTTTTTGAGACAGGGACTTACTATATAGCCCTGCCTTGCTGGAACTTGCCAGGTAGTCCAGGTTGGTCTCAAACTCACAGAGAGAGAGAGAGAGAGAGAGAGAACTCCTGGCTCTAGTTAAAACCACTCGTCTCCTCCACAGCATTTTGGCCACATGAAGTGGTAATGTCCCTTTTCTAGCTAAGCTACTTTAAATTTGGTTTCTGTCACTTGGAACTGAAAGAGGCTTTAATAACACATATGCCTCTCAACTTACATAGTACAGACAGCCCTGGAACTGGGAACTGCTTGACTGTAGGTCTGTTTGACATGTTATCAGTGTACAGCAAATATTCAGTAATAGCAATAGTGGCTGTTTAACTTATGCCAAGAAATGTGGTTGAGCCAGATGGTGTGCATGCCTTTAAACTCAGCACTTGAGGCAGAGGCAGGCAGATCTCTTTGAATTCAAGGCCAGCCTGGTCTACATAGCAAGTTTCAGGCCATCAGGGACTACAGGAAGACCCTGTCTCAAAAAGATTAAAAAAAAAAAACAACCCACAAAAAACAAAACATCATCTCTTCCTCACCCAGCGGTAATCAGCTGCCAATATTTCTTCAGCTAAGATTGGGGTCTGTTGCTCATTTCCCCAGTTCTATGCTGGGTTTTTGTCTGCTTGAGTTTGCATGGGTCTTGTGCTTGCTGACACCATTGCTGTAGGTTCATACGGGCAAGGTTTCAGGAGCTTTAGTTGATCTTTCTAAAGCAATGGTCTCTAGATAGGCTGTCTAGATGTCAGCAGGTGAACCTGCACTGAGGAATGTCTGAAGACAGCAACGACACAATAGGCCTTAACACAATGACAGAATGTATGAGTTCCAGTGGGGGGTTATAGGAGGGTGCCAGGGGGAAAGGGGGTATAAAGAAGATTGAGATTGATTGAGATGTTCTGTGTGAAGAACACAAAAATTCACTAAAACATTTACAAAATAAATAAATAAAAATACTTAAATACTTGCAAAAATACAAAAAAAAACAGACAAAAAATTTTTTACAAAAGAAATGTGGTTGAAAAAACTAAGGATTAGGGAGTTTCTTAGAAACTATTTGTAGAGAAATGATAGAATTCCCAAGTATGTTATCAGGTGGTTTTGTTTTTCTGATTGATTGTTGTTATAAGTAGATTATTTTCTCTGGCTTAAAAAAAGCAAAAAGCAATGCTTTCCCCAACAAACTCACAGGCAACAACAACGGAAAAGAACTAATAAACTGGACTTCAACAAAATTAAGAATTTTTGTGTATCCAAGAACACTATGGAGAGAGTGAAAAGATGACCCACAGAATGGGAGGAAATATTTTTAAATCAAGTGATAAGGAATTAATATTCAGACTATATAAAGAACACCTCTGACTAAACAGTAGTAAAACTACCTGATTAGAAAATAGTCACAGGATTTGAATACACATTTCTCTAGAGTGGACAGGTGACCAATAAGCACAGGAAAAGATGACCAAAATAGTCATTAGACAAATGCATGTCAAAGCCACAGTGAGATACCACTGTACACCAGTCAGGCTGACTATCCAAAACCTCACAAATAAAACCAAAGAAGCAAACAGAAAAAAATCCTCCATTGGTGAGGATGTGGAAGAATTAGAACCTTTGTATATTGCTATAGGAATGTAATGTAAAGTACCCAGTCAACTATGGAAGTCAACTTCAATGGAAGTCAACAAGATGGTTCCTTAAATGTTAAACATAACCATCTAGTCCAGTGATTCTACTTCTAGCTGAATTACCTTCAGAACTGAAACGATGGACTCAAAGCAAGGCCTTAAGTAGACATTTTTACATCAGTATCTATGCAGCATGATTCAGATCATCCAGGAGATGGAAGCAATCTGAATATCCCTTTTCAGAAGAATAGACAAGGACAATCTAACGCATACATACAGGGCAAGGTTTTTCAGTCAGAAAAAGGAATTAAATTTGGATACATGTTGCCATATGAATAAGCTTTGAGGACATTCTCCTAAAGGAAATAAGCCAGAAAACAAACAGACAAATACTGCATGACTGACCTTGAGGGAGGCAGCCAGAATAGTCTAATTTATAAAAGACAGAAAGTAGAATTTATAGATAGGGGCTTAGGGGAAGGAAAACCCTTGTTTTATGGAGGGAATGTCTGTTTGGGATGCTGAAGAAGTTCTGGAGGAGGAAGGCATCTTCTCAACTATGAGATTGTACCTAATGACACAAAATTGTACACTTGAAATGGCCAAAATTGTAAATTTAATAGCACGTTTCTGTTTTAAAAATCTTTTCCCTCAAATAAAAATGTTTCTCAGATCACACAGGGATGACAGATTAGTGTTTGCCTAGGGCGTGGGGTGGGAAGAACGGCTGATACTTAATGGGCTTGGGCTGGAGAGAGGATTCAGTGGTTAAGAGCACTAGTTGTTCTTGTGGAAGACCTGGGTTTGAATCCCAGCTCCCACATGGTGGCTAACAAACTGTCTATAACTCCAGTTTCAGGGGTGCCAGTGCCCTCTTCTGTCCTCCACAAGCACGGCATGACACGGGGGACTTACATACATGCAGGCACAATACTCATACACATAAAATAAAAATAAATAAATCAAAAAATTTAAAAAATAGTTAATGGGCTTGAGGATATCAAGAGGGTCGTGCAAATGTCCTAAAACTGACTTATGGCAGCAGTCCCTCGAATTCTACACTTGAATGAATTATGTTTGCAAAATATGCTTTGGTAAAGCTGAAAGCAAAACCACTCCAGGGCGCTGGAGAGATGGCTCAGCAGTTAAGAGCACTGGCTGCTCTTGCAGAGGACCCCAAGTTTAGTTCTCAGCACCCACATGGTGACTTACAACTGCCTATACCTCCATTTCCAGGGGATCAGACACTCTCTTCTGATCTCCGTGGGCATTACATATATGGGTGTACTTATACACATATAGACAAAACACTCATGCACATAAAATAAAAATAAAGCAAATAAAAAAAAGAAACCGCTCCAGCAATATTTGTAGAACTACTTTCCAGAAGAATCCAGGTGCATGGGAGCATACTAGTCAGAGAAGGCAGGAGGTGAAGAATCTGCTCAGCCTCCCCAGCCTTCAAAGCCTCACTTGCTTCCCTTCCTCCTCTACACGGCTACTGCATACATCCCACTAAACCCACATTCTGTGGACTACTCTGCAGAAATGTCCACTGGAAAGGGACAATGCAGTGGAAATCACTCTCATGGGCTGGCACCTGCCTTACATCATTATAACTGCTCTGTCTGGGTCCTGGAAGCTGTTTACGTCCTTGTTGCTGGAAGTACTCAGAGAGTGCAAAGTACTCCCTGTGGAGCATCAGACTCTATCTGTCCACTCCATCAAAACCGGGGGTTTCTGGATACCACTGTGTTCTGGAGTCACTCTGACCCTAACACATGGAGAAGGAACATAGATGCTGTACCCTCAGGCACGGCCCAGCTCCACCACCCACTTCATTTTGACTACCGCTAAGGCTTTTTATTAGGATGATAAAAAGAATCTTAATAACTTCTAAACTTTAGCATCTGGAGGATTTTATAAAGCTCACTAGGCAGTCTAGAGCATTTATTAAGTTCCTACTGAATGCCAGTCACTGTCCTAGTGTGGTCTTATGGTCTCATTTAATCTCTGCCAGTCTGGTGACAGGTATTATTACTTTCTGCTGCAAGTGGGAAATGTGAGGACCCAAGGTTAAGCCATGCGCTTACCATCTTGGGTCACACAGCACAGAATGAGTTGAGATCCAGTTTGGGCTTTGCAGGCCCATGGTCTTTTCATGGCACACATTGGCAATCTGGTTAAGTGCAGTCCAAGCAAGTGAGGACTCATGAAAAACACAAAGCATTACTTGGCAGCAAATCTCAGGTAACAAAATGTGAATAATGTTACCCTTCACATGCCCCACTGCACAGTAAAGCTGTGACCAGGGAGACATGAAAAGTCAAGGCAAAGGGTAGAGCATGCAGCTGGTGGCTCAGAGTCAGGGTCACACCCTAGCAAAGGCAAGCCCCTCTGGTGAGCTGAGAAGAGGTTCAGAGAGCATCTTACCTCCAGGCTCAGCAGCTCAGAAGGCTGCAATTCACCAAAGGGTTGAGAAACCTCAAGCCAAGACAGGGAGGGCTGACGTCAGCTTCACCCAGGCCAGCAGTACCTCAGCCAAACTGGAAAGGGTGCGGTTTCCTCTTTTGCACGGCTG